CACCCTTACTTTAACAATTTCAGATTAAAGTTAGCAGCTCAAGAGTTGGTGAGGATAGCTCTAGAGCTATGTTACTTTAAGTCTGCGTGTCAGTGTCGTGCTCTGATAGGTTGTAACACTGGGGAACGTTTAGTTGAGGAATTAGTTATTATTCAATTGTTTCTTTGAATTTCCTTGGGAATAATTATGTTTTGGTTTATTCCGTTTTGGTTATGGTATTTTTCCGCTGTGTAAGACATGGTCTTAATTTGATTGAATTATTTGAATAATGACCCTCAGTGTAGCATGACTACTGTTTTATTGGAAGTTTTATTTATTTCATAATTGTGACATCCCTTGTTCCGTGATAACTATGATGGAATATGTCTTTAATCATTGATATAATTAATATTATTCGGGGTATTTTAGAAGGGGTGTTACAGATGCCATACTGACACACATTCAAATTCAACTTTCAGATACAGCACAGATACGCTCCAAACACGGACGCCATTCTGATACTCATTCTTTCAGTTTACAAATTACAATTCAACAATCACTCCTGGGTGGAATCTACAAGCCCATCTCCAACAAATTTCTATCACCTCTCCAAATGGCACCTTTAAGCCCATTCCCTCTACCGTCACATCGTCGAGTGAAAATTTTTGGGCACTCTAGTGTTTAATCATCTTCCACCTTCGAGTCACGAATGGCAAAACATGCCAATCTAACTCTTCGGGCTTAAGAAGATTGAACAGGTCCAAATGTTGTACCCCAAAATTTTCCTTCTCACTTATCAAGAATTTTCTCACAAGATCTCCTTGGGCTCAAGACTGCATTAGGGTTTGATCAGCTCAAAACACCTCTTTATGCACTGATGACCAAAATTAGGGTTTGAGATTGCACAAGTATTTTTGAACTTCCAATGCTTCATATGATTTTCATGGATAACTATGGACCCCCAAGATGACTCATGCCAAGTTTCAAGCCTTGGATCACACTTTTGATCAGTCAATTGAGCAGTTGACCTAAAAATCAGCTATATTGGGGAAAAAGTCAACTATGGCCAATTTACAGTCAAACTTCATAATTTTTTATCCACATCAACATTTTAAACTCATATGTATCATTTTATCAAGTTTGGACCACAACTCCTCAAGAAATTTGATCAAATCTCCAAAAGGGCAAAATGGTCAAAATTAGGGTTTTGACTGGGAAAGGACAATTTCTGGTTTTTAACCTAGCAAATGGTCAATTGGTTTAAGGCATGATATCAAGAGTCCAATTGCATCATTTTTACCTAATGACATGGTTCAAAACATTGCAAGTCCATTAGATTGACAGATAAATTTTTTAGTCAACTAATCAAAAGTCAATTGTATACTGAAAAGTCAAACTTTGACTTTTTGGTCAAATTTAAGTTCCAAAGATCACAATTCATCAAAACATGTCAAAATATGAAACTTATTCATCAAGAAATCAAAAAGTTCATTTTGAAAAGTCAAAATTTCTAAACTTAGAATTTTTTCTAAGTGTTGAAAATTTCATGTTTTTTCATAACTTTGAGCCAAATTTTCACCATGATGCAAGATGATTCAAGGGAAATTCCCAACATGAAATTTGTATATCTCCATGAAATATACAACTTTGCTTCACACAACTTCTTCCAAAAATACTTGGATCTCAAGTTATAATTTTATGAACATAGGGTCATGAGACTAAACACTTAGTGAAATTTTGCCCTAATTTGGTCACGATTTTGACCCAACTTCATGGAACTTTTTCATTTAGTTACAAGGGTAATATTCAAAAGCAATTCAAATATGGGTTTTAGATCATATTACAAGATTTCCAAAATGTTCAATAACTCCTTGAGATCATTCTTGAGTAGGGAGAATCGAAGAGATGTAGTTAGGGTGTTGTCACTTGAATTATAAGTCATTTTTGATGAACACATGAACCAAATCCATAGCCATGCTGCATAATCCTCACTTTGAAGGCCTAAAACTTGTTTTTCACTCCATAATTAATGGTTTACACAACTGATTATGCCCTTAGCCAAGTGTTTCAAGGTTTGTCCAAATCAATTTGTCATTTTAGGGAGAAAGTAACATATCCATTCTTGTAAAGCAAGCTTTATGCACAAAGTCGGCTTCTTGAGCTCCCAACTTGTTTTTCTTGATTACACTCCATCCACAAAGTCAGAAGCATTGTGTTTAAAGTGGTTAACAACTCTATGAACCAAGTACATGGCATGGAAACTTGAATTTCTCAAAAAAATCACATGTTATGCATAAACATGTAAATCTGAATTCTGATCAACTAGAGCATTCCAAACTTGTTGCTTATAAATAGTCACTATTTGTGAGCTAAAGGACGAGCGTGAGCACCCTGGAATACACAAAAACTCTCTCAAATCAGAAATTGCCCAAAAACTCCATTGTTGCACAGTTTCTGACCTTAAACGTCAAACTCACATTTCCCTTGTGCGTTTCCTGGCCTTTTAGTTTCTAAAGCTTCCTTACATCAAGTGTAACTTATCCCTGTACCTGTTTCATTTCTGTAACATCATTTACTCTATCTTCCATAACCAAAAATAGAGCATTGCACATTGACTTCTCCAAGTCATTTCAGCCACTCTTAACTCAAGCAAACCATTGCATTAGCTTTCTAGGATCTCAAGGAAGCTAACCTGATCATCACCATCACTTGAAACAAGCTCAAACTCCAAACACGATTTCCACTTTTGAGGTAAGTTTTCTCAACTTGGAACTCTTCATACAGGCATCATCAATAATTTATTTATGAATAAAACATGTAGATATCATTGCCCTGAAGCTAACCATGTCCATAGTTTCCATTAATTTTGCTTGAGCATAGAGAATTTTGAAACTAAAATTTCTGAAATTTTTAGGGTTCAGATTAGGGCCATTAAAATTCTTGCTTATCTTTGATCTATAGTTTTAATACTTTATATTTCTGGAATCGTGAGAAAATTTGCTACTAGTTTCATGTTTACAGTTTTTATTTTTTATGAGAAATGAGAAAGTTATAGTTGGTCTGGCTGGAGGTTGAAGATGAAGTCTTCAGGGCGCGTTTTGCCTTACATATTTATCGTTTCATTTGAATTAACGGATGTATAGTCACCCCAGTGGTAGAAGCGCGCGCCTGTAACCTATAGGACCTGGGTTCGAGCCCCAGTGGTACCCTTTTTTATTTCTCACATTTTTCTGACTTTGGTTGTTTTTTTTTGGCAGGCGCTGGGCCCGTTTGGGCCTGGCTTTGTTTTTTTTTTGCTCACTAACCTCCCTGCTGACTAATGGCACCCCTAGCCCAAGTTTGATTTTTTTAATTATTTTATTTTCTTAAATATATTTTCTAAAATACTGGAAAAAAAATCATAAAATACAAAAAAAAATGACATATTTATATTTTGACTTATTTTATTTTATTTTCCTACAAAAATATTTTATTTATTTATTATACTTTATTTATTTATCAAGTAGACCTGGTAAATTTAATTAATATTATGTTTCTTTTATTTATTTATTTTTTCACACCATTTAAAATACATTATTTTAATATAAAAAATGAGACTAAAATTATTTTATAATACTATAAATATTTTCAAGATAAAAAATACCAAAAAATACTTTTCTTAAACTTATTTTCTTTTGATTAATTAATAGAATTAGGGTTTTCATTTAAAATCTTTTCTTAATAAATTCAAACTTAATTAACTATTTTCTTTATTTAATTAGGTTAAAGACAAAATCTTTTTTTCATGAAAACCAAACAAAATTCATTTTCTTTACATTTTGCATCCTTGTACATTTATTCATTTTTATACTTTGTATTTATTTAATTCCTTGTATATTCATACCAATTCAATATGTTTGTAATAGACTAATTAGGTTTAAATTCTTGCAATCCCCATTTACAAATTGTACACCCCCTCCCTACAAATGTTGTAATAGCATAGTAACTTTAAATTTCGCAATTTATTCCTTTTATATAACATGCTAGTAATTAAGGTTTGTATGGAAAGACTAAAATCAATGCTTAGAAAACCCTAATTCAAGACAAAAACAAGCATGAAAACAATACACTTGCACACAAGCACCCCTAGGATTATTCCACTTGGTTTCCTTATACAAAATGATCATATTACGCATGTAGGGTATCTTAGCAAAAACAAGGAAATACAATATCATAGTCCCTCGATGCTGCTATCTAAGTTGCCTTATAAATGATCTTAGTCCCTCAAAAAGAATGCTAAGATACCTTACAACATTGCTAATCATGGTTATACGATGACCCACGCCCGTCCTGTTTACATATAAATATAGGGTTGCTTACCAAATCAATGGTAAGACAACAATGTCAAAGGAAAAGAAAATGAACAATAAAGACATTTGAGTAGGTAGATTGCTCCTAATTACTTGCTCAACTTTAAACAAACATCCTTTCTATTTTCAAAAACAAACACCTACACTTTTAAACATCTTACAAACTTGGAAACATTTTCAAAAGATCAACATCTTTGTATACATTCTTACGAACGAGAATCATTACAAATATTGCCTAAACAATGACCTCTTTACAAAATACTTTCAAAAACCACACAAAGCACAATTTCAAATAAAAGCAAGTGATCTAGAAAGTAACTAAGAGTCCATGGAAAACCATGAATGAAAAGAGTGTTAATTCCTTCCCTTTTCATAATCTATCCCCCAAACTCAAGAAATAATCTCAAAGGTCTTTCTTGTGCTTTAACACCTTTCCTTTTGGATAAAAGAAAAGTCAGTGGCGACTCTTGCTAACTGCAACATTTACGATAAAATACAAAACACCCCAAGTCAGTTCTCCCACCGTATCACACTTTGGCATTAACATAATGTATTGCATAACATGGTTGTGTGTAATAACATATTAAGATAGTGTGACGCCATACCTTACTGAATATGAAAATGTTGTATTGTAAGAAAGGAATTAACATGAAGGTGTGTAGTTGAAAAAATATGCAGTATAAGTGTAAGGGTTTAGTTCATATTTTATGTAATGTTGAGCACAAAAGTTTGACCTTAAAAAAGTTAAAGGTTGAGGGGATGAAATAGTTTGGCGCCTGATTTCAAAACTTTATGGGACCCAATTTGAAAAGTTACAAACATATGATGCAGTAACAGTAGGGTAGTCGCACACTAGTGTGCAAAAACTGCATAACAGGCACACTCTAATCAGCAGTCAGCTATGACGGAAGTCAAAAAATTAAAGAAAATTAGTAGGGCAATGAAGATAAATTAGTGAAAGTCATATGCTCGGAAGTAGAAAAAATCAGTAAAGCTATTATTATATGAGTGTTGGACATTGTTTGTAAATATCAAAAAGTATCCAAAGAAAATTTAATAATATATATGGTGTTGTCACATCAAGGTTGATATTGCAAAGTCAAAAGTATAAATTATTTTGATAATGTTAATTAGGTAGAATCTATAATATAAGAAAACTCAATCTACCCAAAAATCATGTTTTGTCCTTTTGTTCCAAAAATAAAACACATGGCTTCTTGAGAGTACAAAATTGGTTTTGGAATTGTTTTTGTTCTCCATGATTGGCCTCACAATTCTCCTCAATTGTTTTCCCAAAATCTTTCATTTTCCAATCTTCCCAATTCATCGGCGGTTATGATTTCTACATCTATATTTCACATTCAAAACGGTTTCTGAAACATTTTAATCTCCATATTTCACACAGAAGCGGTTTCTACACGGTTAGAGACAACCTTCCAATTTCTACCCTAATCTCATCCTTTCTCTCCTTCTCTCTATCGATTTATTTCTTCTTCCTGTACATCATCCTTTTCCCCCTCTCCCTCTTTCATCTTTTCTTCTTTATTTTATTTTTCTTCCTTCTCCTTGGTTTCTGTTGCAGCAAGAATAGTAAAGAAAGAGATCTATGGAATGAAAGGAATGAATTTCTTGCCATGGTTGTTGGGGATAAAGTTCTGTAGATTTTGTCATGAAGATGGAAAAATAGTTGATACAAACAAGATCTCCAGAAAAACCAAGATTTCTTGTAAGTAAAATTCTATATTTTTGGTTTTTCTATGACACTTTATTATTAGTATTTCAAAAACAGTTTGAACATTTCATAGAAGTGTTGAACTGGAGAAATCCTTATGTGTAGGAAACATTTAAGCTGCATGAGTTTTCACCAGGATCATGCCCTTCTAGCTTGGCCTTGCAAGGGACGCGGTGGTCAACTATTGGCGCTCAGGTTTTATTTCTATTCATATTTCAAATATCAGTAGTAAATGTTACTTTTTAGATCTTTAATCATAAGATATGAGATTTTGTTAAAGAGATTATATTTGTATTTTATAGCGAGTCATCAGAATATTAAGACACTTGTATCAGTGCGTAGTTATAACAGTTTAGTTCAATTCTTCTACCTGCAATCAAACTATGATGTATCTGACATTTGTTTTGTAAAATTGACCAGATTGCGTATTTTACTGGGGAGAAAAAAGAAATAGAAAAGTACAATAGTAAGTTAAAAGTTGCTTATACGAGTACGGTTTAATAAGGAACTGCGATAGGATTTGGAATGGGGTTACTTTCATTGATTGTGTTTAGCACCTATGTACTTGCAATGTGGTATGGTTCCATGTTAGTCCTTGAGAAGGGATATACTGGTGGAACTGTTACGAGTGTAATCATAGCTCTTATGACCGGTGGAATGTAAGAGTGAAATTTGTATTCGAAAATGATAAACTTTTAGACATGTTAATTTTATAGACCTTCAATGAGCATAAGATTTCATTCATTTACAGGTCATTGTGTCAGACATCTCCATGCGTAGATGCATTTACTGCAGGACAAGCAGCCGCGTATGAAATGTTTGAGACGATTAAAAGAAAGCGTAAAATTGATGCATATGACACAAGTGGTGAAATCTTGGAGGACATAAAGGGGGATATTAAACTCAAATATGTTTACTTCAGATACCCTGTAAGGCCGGACGTGCAGATATTTGTTGTATTTTCACTGTTTGTTCCAAGTGGCACAAATACTGCTTTGGTGGGTCAAAGTGGAAGTGGAAAGTCTACTGTGATCAATTTATTGGAAAAATTCTATGATCTTGATGCTGGAGAAGTACTTATAGATGGTGTGAATTTGAAGAAATTGCAACTTAAATGGATAAGGGATTATATTTGGTTGGTTAGTCAAGAGCCTATATTGTTTACTACTACTATCAGAGAGAACATGGAGTATGGGAAAGAAGGTGCAACTGATGAGGAGATAACAATGGCAATAACACTTGCTAATGTGGAAAAGTTCATCGACAAACTGCCTGAGGCATGTGTAATATTGAAAACTTTGATCATGTTTGATTGAAATTAATGATAATGATGAGGAAATTGTGTTTGCAGGGCCTTGACACCATGGCGGGACAAAATCGTACTCAACTTTCTGGTGGGCAAAAGCAAAGAATCGCAATTCCAAGAGAAATATTGAAGAACTCAATAATCCTGTTTCTTGATGAAGCAACAAGTGCGTTGGATGCTGAGTCTGAACGTATTGTTCAAGAAGCTTTAGAAAAAATTATGTTTAAAAGGACTATTGTTGTTGTTGTGCATCATTTAACAACTATCAGAAATGCAGACACAATAGCAGTGGTTCATCAGGGAAAGATCGTGGAGAAAGGTTATACTTGATATCTATATATAGTTTTTGATTTTTGTAACAGCATAAGTGTATTCATTTCATAGATTATGCAAGTTTATCACATATCTAATTTTTGGTTTATTCATAATTTGGCGTGAGTAGCGCGTGATTTAACTTGAGCGCAATTTGATTTCTGTCTATTGGATCTTTTATTGTCTGTTCTTTCCTGTATCGTTTCAGGAATACCCCTTATATTGTTAAAGATCCATTCATTATATAATTATAGAAATGAAATATAATGTTAAGATAAGCATGTCTTCACCTTTATAAAAAACAACAGCATCGCTGGCATTCTGGTCCAATGCAATTGTTTCATTTATGTTTTTTTGATCTACTTCGTGCAAAGGTATGTGATTCTTTCTTTGTTTTATTTTGAGCAATTCATATCTTAGTTTTATTTTTAGAGAAGTTCAATTGTCTTGAACCCCGTAGACCGATATGAAATCATGATTCTGTTATTGTTGCTATTATTTTCATTTTTAGAATGGTATGCTAAGTTTTAATCCTTTTGAGTGTGTTAAAATGAAAACTTGATTCCCGAGGTGTCTTTCAATAATAATATCCAAGTTTGATGAGATTGAATAATGGTTGCATAAATTCTTTAAATAAAATACACATGCACCTGGCCTTTTTTTTATGATTATTGCAATCAAAGGCATTAGCTTGTAGATTAATGAACTTGTGTTTTGTAGTGCGGTGCCTAATTGTAGTTAACATTACCATTATGAATTGACATATCAATTGGCAAAAATTTAGACTTTATTTGAAGCGATTAAGTGGAGTGGCACAATAACAAAATGGGATGCTAAACAGAGTTCTTGGACTATAAAATCTGAGCTAGTTGCTACTGCAAGATATGAGATAGAAACTTTGGTTGCTTCTGGCCATGTTTCCCATGAGACACTTGTAGCCCTTCATGATGAGTTCTTAGGTCACCTGCTAACTAACATAATGCATACAGGGGACCAGACTGCACTAATACATGCATTTATTCACGGGCCAATACATTCTCGCGCTGATGATCCTACTGAAGCATATAATTTCCCTTCCAACAGTGTTTATAATTTCCCTCAGTCCATCTTTAAAGTAGATGAGTCATCATCAAGATATGGAGCATGGCTGCTATCTAATACACTTGGTTCAGTCTCAAGGGGATGGTTAGGCATTCTGAATAATAACGTGGTGATTGATATACTATAACACCAATAAAGGCACCGACATCAGCAAAAATAATAGCATTTTACGATTCATGATCAAACTCGATCAATCAATATTCAACCATATTGCTTGGTGGTTCTTGCTCAATCTTATGACAATTTATAGTCAGTAAATAATGTTGCTTCTGTCAACAAGGATTGTAGTTTTGACAGAAAAGCCATTATTTATTATAGTCAGTCATCAGAAAAAATCAAATAATTCATTGAGTACATCTCAATATACTTGGTCTTTTTTTTTTTTTTTGCTTCAGTTAAGGTCTGCCATCTGGAATCGATAACATTGATTACGAAAAAACACATACTTGATGTATTATATTGAATCTAAATATTTTGATATTGTGTGGGACTTGCAGCAGACAAATTTTGTGACAGTTACTTACTGTGAATAATCTTCTCCAAATGTGACTTGGTAAACAATAATGCATTGTATTAATTATATTTCTATTTATTCTATATGTTGCAGGGATCAAATTGTTACGATGCTAAGACACGTTATAGTATTTGTGATACGGTGGGAGAACTGACTTGGGATGTTTTGCTTTTGATCACAATTGTTGCGGTTAGCAAGAGTCACCACCGACTTTTCTTTTATCCAATAAGGAAAGGCTGAAAAGAACAGAAAAGACCTTTGAGATTATTTTCTTGTATTATAACCCTTTTCATCCATAGTTATCTATGAGCTCTTAGTTTCTTGCTAGATCACTTGCTTTGTTTGAAAATGTGCTTTGTGGTGGTTTTTGAAAGTATTTTTGAAAAGGCGCATTCGTTTAGGAAAACTTTGTAATGGTTCTCGTTTCGTAAGAATGTATATAAAGTGTTGGACTTTTGAAATATATTTCATGTTTTGAAAGTGTTTGGTGTGTGTTTGTTTTGAAAGTGAGCAAGCAACTAAGAACGTTTCTACCTACTCAAAAGTCTTTTGTTCAGTTCTATCATTTCCTTTGATATTGCCATCTTACCATTGATTGGTAAGAAGCCTTATCTTTGGATGTAAAGGGACGGACGTGGGTCATCGTATAGTCAGGATAACAATGTTGTAATATGTATTAGCATTTCTCTTTGAGGGACTAAGATCATTTGAAAGGAAACATTTGTAGCGTCATCGAGGGACTATGATCTTGCATTTTTTTATTGTTTTTGCTAAGACATCTCACATGCGTAACATAATCATTTTTTAGGCAACAAGTGGAGTTAAACTTAGGCGTGCATGTGTGAATGGTGTGTTTGTTTGCATGCAATATTTATCTTGAATTTAGGGTTCTCTAAGCATTGATTTTATCTTTCCATACAAATCCTAATTTACTAGCATTGATATGAAAGTGATAAATTACGGAAAGTAAATTTACTATGCTATTACATCATTTGGAAATGGGGTATATAAATTTACAAATGGGGATTGCAAGAAATTAAACCTAATTATCTATTACAACCATATTGAAACTTGAATAATGTACAAGAATTGAAAGGAATATAATGTACAAGGATATAAATGGAAAAGAAATGAATTTTTGTTTGGTTTTTAAGGAAAGGGTTTGGTTTTGACCTAATTAACTAAAGATATAATTAATTAAATTAATAAAATTAAACCTAAATTAATTAAGAAATTAAATTAAATTTTTATAAGAAAAATGTTTTGTCTTTTTGTATTGAAAAATAAACTAAGTATATAGTATAATAAATAAAATATTTTTGTCTTTTTTATTAATAATAATAATATTAATATTAATATTAGTGATAATAAAAATAAGGAAAATAAAAATAAAATAAAAATATAAAAGTGAGGTTAGGGGGTGTAAAACAGTTTAGGATATAGTATTTAAAGTAAAACAGATTTGATGTTTTTTGTCTGGCCCATTAGTGTTTTTGTAAACATAAAAACAAAATAAAATAAAATGGAATGGACTGCGTTGTCAAAAGGAAACAAGGGGGTTAGGAGAAGTAAAAATGCAAAGGCCCATTTGTGGAGGCCCAGGCGCGCTGGCTTGTTCAAACAAAGAAAAGATGGAAAATGTTAGAAAAAGGCAAAATGGCGGCGTTGGGGCTTGAACCCATGCCCTTGACCATAAATTTGTGATGCCTTACCACTGGGGTGGCTATACATCTGTTAACTTAAACAAAACCATAAATATATATTACAAATCCATTCCTAGAAATGAACTTCATCTTCAACCTCGAGCCAGGGTCCATGTATCTCATTCATTTCTCATCCATTCTCAAAACATCCAACATCAAACTTGTAAGAAATTTTACCAGGATTTTAGAAATGTAAACAATTTGGAATAACAATCAAAGATAAACATGTATTTCTAAAAGTATCAAATCTTGACCTAACTTTTTTCAGAGATTCAAACTTAAAATTCTCTAAGCTCAGGAAATATAAATGAAAACCATGGATATGTACAACTTCAGGACATTGATATCTACATTTTGTCTTTGAAACTAACAATTCCTAAATGAAGAGATGAAAGTTCAGAAAAATACCTCAAAAATTGGAAATCGTGAAATGAGTTTGAGATTATTTCGAGTGATGGTGATGATCAGGTTAGCTTCCTCAAGTTCCCAAGAAGCTAATGCAACCCTTACTTGATGCTGGGAGTGCTTGAGTCGTGCTAGAGAAGTCAAGATGCAAGCTCTGTTTTTTGGTTATGGAGGAAAGTGATGGAGATGTTACAGTCGTGTAACAGGGTGTGCGATTGTTTGTAGATGATGTTTAGGAACTTTTGGAAGTGAAAGGCCAAGAAATGCACGAGTGGATTAGGTGTTTGGGATTTCTAGCCAGAAAGTGTAACAATGGATGTTGTTTATGCAATCCTGACTTTGAGAGGGTTTGAGGGCTTAAGCATATGTGTCTTAGCTTGCAAATAGTGTATTTACTTATAAGCAAAAGGTTTTGAGACTTGAAACAACTCAGAATTTGAAATCACATGTTATGGCTTGGTTACTTGATTTTGAAGCAAAGTTGACAAACATGGTTTCAATGTGAAGTACAAGGATTTTTAGGGTGGTTATAAGGTTGTAGATATGTTGCTTCTTGATGTGAAATGTTTTGGAGTCAGAAGCAACAATGTATGGGCTCAAGAAGAGTTGACATTGTGATTAAAGCCACTTTTCCAAAATGGAAGTGTGAACTTTCTTCCCAAAATGGCAAATTGGTTTGGACAAAGCTTGAAACACTTGGATAAGGGCATAATCAGTTATGTAAACCATTAATTATGGAGTGAAAAATAAGTTTGAGGCCTGCAAAGTGAATATTATGCAACATGGCTATGAATTTGGTTCATGTTCATCACAAAATATGTCTTGCAAAATAAGTTTGAAATCCTAACTTCTTGCCTTCGATTCTCTTAGCTCAAGTATGGTCTTGATGAGTTATTGAACATTTTGGAAAACTTGTAACATCCTATACAACCTTTATGTTGGACATTTTTGAAGATTCAACTTGGAACCATGTGAAAAGTTACCATGAAGTTGGTACCAAAAATCTGCCTAACTAGGGCAAAATTTCACTAAGTCTTTTAGTTTCATGGACATGTCTTCATAAATTCATAACTTGAAATCCAAGAATTTCTAGAAAAAGTTCAGCCCTACAATGTTTTATATCTCATTGAGATATACAACTTTCATGTTGGAAGTTTTCCTTGAATCATCTTGCATCATGGTGGAAATTTGGCACAAAGTTATGAAAAAAATGTTAACTTTCTAACACTTAGAAAAATTTCTAAGTCCTAGAATTTTGAATTTTCAAAGATAATTTTGACTTTTTAATTTCTTGATGAACAAATTTCATATATTGACATGTCTTGATGAAATATGATTTTTGAAACTTGATTTTGATCAAAAAGTCAAAGTTTGACTTTTCAGTGTACAATTGACTTTTCATCAGTTGACTGAAATTCATCTGTCAATCCAATGATCTTGAGAGGTGATTTGAACTATGAAATCAGGTCAAGATAGTGCATTTGAATCCTTGAGATCATGTCTTAAACTAATAAGTCATTTTCTTGGTCAAAAGTCAAGAACAGAGCTTTCTCAATCAAAACCCTAATTTTGACCATTTTGACCTTTTAGTGTTCTGATCAAATTTCTTTGAGGAATTGTGATCCAAACTTGATCAATTGACATATATGAGTTCATAATATTGATATGGATAAAAAAATTATGAAGTTTTACTGCAAATTAACCACAATTGACTTTTCCTTAATACAGTTGATTTTAGGTCAACTGATCAACTGACTGAGCAAAAATGTGATCCAAAGCTTGAAACTTGACATGAGCAATCTTTGGGATCCAAAATGATCCATGAAAGTCATATAAGGCATTATAAGTTCAATTATCTTTGTACAAACTCAAACCCTAATTTTGAGTTGTCAGTGTTTGAGGAGGTGTCTTGAGCTGATCAAACCTTGTGTAGTCTTGAATCAATGGAGATCTTATGAGAGATTTCTTGAGAAATGAGAAGGAAAATTTTGGGGTACAACAGTATTATTTAAAGATGTTGATAAATTTACAAATTGAACCAACGAATTTACATACTGAAATAATGGAGAAACGCCATATTACTTCCTACATTATGGCCTTGGTGCAGTTCGACAATTTGTATCAAGTTTACCGATTGCCATGCCAAAGAGAGATCTTGTGAATTATTAGAGCTGTCACATGATCTTATTTGATTGAGATGCATAGATTATTGCAGTTACATTTCTCTTAGTATCATCTACAATGTTTAAATATGTCTTAAATATAGTTATGGTTTTGCTTTACATTTATGATATCCAAACCGACACACATGACCTATATGAAGATTATATTTCTATCTAATGTTTCTACTTTGTTCAAATGCATGGAGATTTTCGGTCTGGTGGGCCTATCCACAATGTTATTTTGGTTAGCTCCAGGCTATTCACAGTGCCACTTTTGTCTGCTATGACCTATCCTCAGTGTTGTTTCAGCCTTCTGCATGCATCAATAACTCTCTGGTCTTGT